CTTCAAACTATTTATTTTTAAGGATAAGCCCATTGAGATGTACCATCTCATTTTTGAAGGGCTGCCATCAGAAAAATAAATAAATCGAGAAAGAGACATCAAAAACTTGACAACAGATTAACAAAAACAAAAAAATGCACCCACCTGAGATAATACAAATTAATGGCTATAACCATTACAACCACCTGAGGGCTAATGTGGCCAGCAATATCAAAAGAAAAGAGTGTTAGCAGATCCAAATACAATGAGATGTAAGAATGGATACAGACAGTGTTAGTGATAGCAAGAATGTTACATCTCAAAGTAAGACGACAGAACGTTCTTAAATGTATGAAACAATAAAATGAACCTAATATAAATGGTTAATATGTTTCAGTCCACTGGAGCGTTGTACAAAATATATAAGGCAGATAATTGAAATTAATACATTAAAATAGAAACGGGATCGAGTGCATTTGCCTTCTAAGACTGAGCGATGGCCATTTGAATGCATCATACGTTGAACAATGATGAGTGAGAAAACCAACCAAGGACAACTCTTCAGAGTAATTTCTAAGATGAATTAAGGTGAGCAAAATCCAATTTAGATGAATTTTGATAAACAACAATAACAATAGTCTAGAATTGCGCTGGAAGACTGAATTGAAAGGCAAATTTGTTGCGAACATTGTGAGTAATACAGTATTGAGGTCAATAAAAAACATTGATTCCAAAATTGACTTTACATGGGACATGATCAACATGGGATTTATAAAGACTTCAGGATCAATCCAGACACTAACATATTTAAAACTGTCAACTTTATGGAGATGAGTAATTACAATGGAGCCAGTTATGGATTTAAGTTTACAGTTTTTTTGTTTGTTTTTTTTATGTTGAAATCAGACTGTGGAGAATCTTGTATTAATGATAAAATCTGGCTAAGATGTAAATATGACAGTATCATCTGCATAAGTTGAACATGAAAACTATCAAAAATGAATGGCAAATCGTTAACAAAAGAAAAAAGAAAAAGAAGTGGACCCAATGTTGATCTCTGTGGCACAACTCGCCATTGAATCAACTAAATCAGATTTTATCATATATAAATTTACACATCGTTTTCTGTTGTGGAAATACAGGTTGAACTATAGTACTGCATTATCAGGAAGAAAATTGTGATTGTCCAACTGCGGTTGGTGAAAAAAAAAAAAAAAACGCCTTTTTATTTGTATTTTTTCAAATCAATAGAAATTCCTCCATTTGCCTCGGGGGATTGAATTTCCAGAGTTGTTCTGTTTTGGATAAATAGGTATTAATGTATGTAGATGTTAGCTTCTTTTGACTGACATGAATAATAATCTGGATAATTGGTATACCAGAAAATGCACAAGAGACCTCTTACTAAAATAAGCCGGTTCAATTGCTTTATAATTCATTGAATCAAACCAAACTAAATACAACGCATCTACTCATCAAACCTGAACACAGACCATGCTGTTTGGGGTGGTCTTTTTCCAACATTAGCTCCAAGAGAACGCTGACAGCTTAATATTAAAGCTCTGTGCATTCATTAGAGGTCTTGCATGGTTTTTGGTGGAACGATGGGATGTTTTATTTTTAAATGTGTTGTTAATTCATAGGCTGTAAAAACATCCTTTTTGTCAATTTCATAATTTCACATTGGAAAGGAAATCCTCACACATGGGCGCCAAGAACTAGGTGTTGCGTTTCTGCCAGCGTCAGACTGAATAAACGCTTATGAATATGCCCACACCACCAGAGGGGATGGACTAAATCGTAATTCTCATTCTGCGGCTTGGAAAAACTTCCGCCTTCCCGAATGCCAAGCAGCTCTGAGGCGATCCCTGTGATGAGCCAAGGAACGCTCTGCTAACTGAGCTCTGGAGAAATACGGTCACGGCAAGATCCATATTCAAATAAACTTCACTCTTGGCCCGTGCACACAAGCCATGTTGTCACCAGCTGGCAGTGCCTCTCACCGCCCCTTCAAATACTGAGCCACTTTTGATTAACGTCTCTGCGGCTAATCATGTGCGCTGGCTGTGCCAAATTGGACGAGCCACGTATGGCCTCCATTTGCCTTGAAATCTCTTATTTTTTCAAACTCACTGGAAGCTTTTGAGAAGCTCCCTTTCCACCACCCACCCCTCCCCTAAGTCTTCTCTTGTCTACTGCCTGTAAGTAGAACTGAGAGGGTGGTGTTGCGGCATGCTGCCATCCTGCGGGTCCCTAGATGAGAGGACTATTGCTGCCAGATGCACCCAGCTGCATAAATGTTATTCATTTTTTATGGCTTGTGTACATAATATGGCCAGTGTGGAAGATTGTGAGGTTCAACTAAAGGCTGGAAAATGCTCAAAATTGAATCAAAGTGGAAAACTTATTTTGGCTGCTGTCCGCTTTGGTCCTCCTTCTTTTCCATGTCCCTTAATACTCTGCTGCTCCTCCCTGTCTCACATGGAGCTCTCTGAAGTTCCCCTGTGAGTGGTTTACAGTATATTCTTTCTCCTCGGCTGCTTTGGCTGGCCTCCTTGCACAGTGGTGGCAGTGTGAGACAGCCGGCATATTTGTCATAGGTCCAGAGGTGCAAAGACATTAGACAGCACTTTGTCACCAGTGTCTGGAATTCACACCATTTGGCTGTTTCCAAGTCAGCTCCTTAACTGCTGACTGGCCTGGTTTCTGTCAGCTGCCACTCTGTTGACATTGAGGGCTAAAAAAAGACAACAACAAGGAAGGACGTATGCTGCTGGCCTTTTTAGGTGGTCAGAACAACACGCAGTCTACAAAGAGCTCGGAGACAAAGAATCCCAGCCAAAGTCCTTGACTCAGTGCTCTCTCCTTCAGCTCACAGTTCAGATATAGTCTAGTGGTTTAGAATGGCTCTCGTCAGGGTTCTGCTAACCCCTGCAGAGAGATGGGCTTGAACTCCAAGCATAGCCACAGTCTTCCAAATCACCCGACCCAGCTGAGACTCGAGCAATCCAAATGTGATCATAGCGGGGGCCTCCCATCTCATTACCAATCTCCATTTCAAAACAGCCTTCAAATGGGAACTAATGCATTAGCTCTCGCTGGGGGAAAAGTCTGGGGAGCCACTGCATAGCGGCTCAAAAACGCTTTCATACATGTTTTATCAGTGGGGAAGAGTGAGCAAGAGAGAAAAGGAGCTTGGACCAATCCATTCATTTGTTGCCCATCTTATTAGCTTGGCACTGTGTTATTAGCTGCCATTGTGCTCCATAAAAGCCCCTTAGGCCTGTCCCACTGTTCGCTGAATCTGGGGTGAGCTCTGTGCCAAGTACTTTTTTGGAGGTATTTGAGACCATGAAAATTCAATCCCAAACTCTCAGAATTGAGGTTTCTCACAGATAAATGAAGAGGATTAGCTAAACAATAAAACAACGTCTTACCTCAAATACCAACATATCCTATTAACTGGGATTAAAGTGAAAATACATAGTACATTAAAAAAAAAAACACAATCTTGAATCACAGTTGCTTTTTCGTGACAGGCTCAACACAAAGCTGTCTTTGTAACAAATTTCCATCGAAAAAGGAAATGTTTTCCAAATTAGTATCAAGAAAATACAGAAAATTATAAACAACCTCTGTCAAACAAAGAGAAAAAAGTCTGGACGTGTGAAGAATAGCTGCAGAAAAGAGCTGACAAGCACAGAAGCCGTAATAACCCACCTTGGGTTGGATATGCTAGGCAATGTGTCAATTGATTCCTATCTGATGATGGACTGTGTGCTGAAATAAATTGACCTTGCCAGACGATGAGTGAAATTGATGGAGCTTTTCATCTCCGGAGGGCCGTTCCACACTCAGCTGTAAAATGGATAGAGCGCAGGACAGAGTGATTGAGTCGGGGGGAAAATGTAAGGTGTGTGTTTCTCTTCTACTAAAGCTTGCTTGGTAAATAATAGTTACAGGAAAAATCACAATGCAGTAACAAGTACAGGGGTTAAGTACCTGTTGTTGACTAGATGATTAGGACTAAAAGCACACAGCTCTAAAGTGAAGCCGGCCACTGACAGATGCTACCCGTCAGACAAATATCTGGCTCAATTACTTGGAGCCTAAATTGAAAGTGATAGTGATTTAAGCCTTCCCAATATGCCAGACCCCATTCTCACAAACAGCCTTTTCAAGGAGCCCTTTCAAAAAAAAAAACCCTGCTAGAGTGTGTAAGACACAGGAGCACCATTGATTTTCAATAACATCCCCTAATGACCTGGCCGCGGTTTGATCCACGCTGTCATTATGGGCTGATACCATGGGACAGGATTGGTGGGTCTCACAGCACACAGCAGCTAGATGAGTAGTCGGGGCATTATCAGGATGAATTGGCCGTCTCTGGACAGGCGGCGAGCATAGCCGAGGTCTTGTCAATAAGAGGACGGGGCGCCTCAGGGCTCCCTGTGCGGCCCACTCCAGAGTGCCTTCCGGCCTTATTAGAAAAGCAGATGAGTGGTGTGCATGAGGAGAGGAGGCGTATGAGAAGAGAGAAGCCTCTCCTCCACCATCCGATAGCCTGCCTCCCAGGCATTGCTCCTCTTAATGAGTCCAGACCACGGGTCAATATGCCGCTGGGCTGCCAGTCAATACCGGTTACCTGCAACACAAACACTCAAAACCTGCTTTCATACAAAATCAATGTCCTATTAGTCCCTCCCTGTATTGCCTTGGCCCAATCTCATCGATCTGCTCTGAAGAGCTCTGCAGCCCGTGTATGACAGATTATGGTCAAATGATCTGATGGCTTAGGCTACACTGCCAGCCAAGTCTGTTGCCTTTATGATTTCAAAGTAATAGCTTGATATCAGATGAGCAAATACTCTAAATGCTGAAAACTGAGACACAAGCATTATTGGCAAACCTATCAACCACACATCAACATTCCTCTCAGCAGCTTTGACTTAAAGACAAATTCAGCACTTGTAGCCTGCACAGACAATCAGTACAGATATGAAAGACAAGCAACAAATGTATGACATTAGGTCCAAACTTTATTCCGTACATTTTAAACCATGAATGTTCATTTTCATTTTTTTGCACGCCTAAAACTCTACTTGTTTTGTATACAAGAGTCTAAGAAAAACAACTGCACAACACCACAAGCTTGACAGAGAAAAGTCCTTTTGCCTCCCACTGAAAAGTGTCCTTCTGTTCTGTCCGGGGCTGGTCCAGTTTGTGACTTGGAAGTCTTTTAATAATCCCATCATTATTTCATTGATACTATAAACATGTGTTAATCCAAGTTTCTCTCGGTATCACCAGTATTGTCTGCTCCCTCCATGTGATCTCTTCATTAGGGTGCTGTGTGCTGCTTTGCATAGATTGCAGATGATCCTTCCAGGCCCCCTTACAACACCCTCTCATGTCCTTCCTTTCATTGGCCAGGCTTGTTTGTTGTCTTGATATTCAACAGGGAATTGACTCACCATGTTTAATTTCATTTTGTTTTTCTAGAAACGGTTAAAAAGACTAATAAATTTACACAGTCATTTTGCAGCGAAGGAATATCAACAAGTTATTTACACCAGTTTTCTTTACAGAGACTGAACAAAGACCTCATAATATATATTTATCTGCATATCTCAAAGGCAAAACAAATGAACAAAACATATTGGTAATGTAACATTGTACATTGTCATCATTGAGGATATCCTGGTACCATGAGGTTAAGTTACTGAAGGTTGAAAGTCCAGTCTTTTCAGTGGGTCATAACGCATATGTCTCACAATCAACTGGGATAAATATTGTAAAAGGCGTGACGAATGCACGAAATACATAAAATTTATAGAAATGATATCTATACATGGAACAAGGATAGCAAATGTACAAACTCATTTCAGAACCTCTCTTTTCGCACAAAGCTGAAAAAAGTATTGGATTAATATATTAATAATTATCAAATATTTAAGTCGGATTTAAACATACACATATTTGTGTTCTCGTTACCGACATAATTCAACCTCCAGTCCACTAAAAATAAAGTCATGGCATGTGCTTAATCAGCCTTACACACCTTTACTTTGTACAATCATACCCTTTCCCTTAGGGAGTGTTGCCCCTCTTTAGTGAGGAGCAGTGCATTTTGTTCAGAACAAGATATCAGACTAGGGGAGGGGAGGGGAGAGGGGCGCAAGTTCGTCAAGGAGATTTTGTGCACTTTTCTGTGAAGCTACCGAGCCTCTACCTCTTTGGGGTTGCGAGATGGGGAGTAGTCTCTTGGGTCCTGGGTGGCAGTGAGGGGGGTAGTCCTCCTGGGTGAGGCTGGCCTGGCACTGCCAGCTGGCACGAGGGGCGGGGGAGCACTGAGTGCAGCAGTGGGTGGTGTTCTGTTCAGGGGGCCGTTGTGTCCTGTGGAGGGGCTGAGTCTGGGGTAGGGCATGCCACCTAGGTGGGGCATAAAGGGGGGCATGTGGGGTAGATGGCCTTCCATGGGGGACTGGTGCAGCTGATGGAGGCGAGCTCTGTCCAGCTCCTCTCTCAGGTGGAGGCGCTCTCGCTCCTCCGCCTGCTGTCTCATCCTCTCGTGCTCCCTGCGCACCTCCATTAGGTGCTCGTGGTGGGAGTAGTCGTGAGCCTCCCTCTCTCTGTAGGCTCGTTCCTGCTCGTAAACACTCTGGAAACGGTGTCCCTGCTCCGCCCTGAGCTGGAAGTCCATGCGCCGCTGCAGGTCCAGGCTGCGGTACGCCTCTCTGAGAGGGTCCCAAGGAAAGGCCGGATGGGGCAGGCGCTCTCTTCCTGCCAGAGGACTCACTCCCATGAAGGGAGCCATGCGAGCCCGGTCCAGCACGTTGAGGCTGCCCATCTGAGGCATGCCGCCCATGGAGAGGGGGAGGGAGTGAGCCATAGGGACTCCGTGCAGGCCAGGTACTGGCATGTCATTGCCACGAGGTGAGGGAAGGGGGTGCTGGGACAAAGGTGGGTGGTGGTGGTGTGGGTTTCCAGGTTGGTTCATGGGAACAGGAAGACTTTGGGCTTGAGGTTGTGGGGCGGGCTCAGAACTCACCACCATGACCTCCTGCTCCTCCTTCCTCTCCTCCTTAATCTTCATGTCATTTTTCACCTTGTGGAGGAGCTCCACGGGTGGGGGCTCTTTCCTCTCGCTGTCCTTGAGAGTAGGTGGGGGCCCACCTGCCATTTTTAGTCCCTGCTCACTGAGCACCACTTTAGAGTACGGAGAGGGAGAACGCTGAATGGGTTTGATGGAGTCTTCAGACGACCTCCTCTCTAACATCTCCTTGCTGGGTGATCGGCTCTCCTTCACCTTCACGTCAGCCAGCGTGGAAGACTCTCTGTGGCGCTCCAGCAGCTCCTTCTCGGCCTCTCGGACCCGATCCACACTGCCGCTGTGATGTCGACCCGAATCACTGGAGTTCTGGCTGTTAGAGCGAATCAGGTTGCTGATCTGATAGCTGACGGGTGCAGAGGCTGGAGACGAACGGTTGGAGTGGCGGTTGCGATCCACAGAATCCCTGTAATGATACAAACTATTTAGTGATTGCAAGTTTAAACAAGAAACACATTGGAAGGCTGTATTGACAAACGGTTTACATCGATTAAATTACCAAAACACAACCCGACTTGTACTTCTCATTTAAAGAATACAAGTTACTGCTCTAGTTTTCCTCTAAGTTTACTGTCTTGAAATTTGACAGAAAGCTCGATGTTTTGATCCTTCCAATTAATTTTTAACAGATGGCTCCTCTTGTTGCCTGTTTGATTTGGACTGTTTTGTTGCTGGATCCATGAATAAATCTTATTCCAGTTATACTTCGAACATACTGGAGAAATGTCTGCTTGTAAGTGAAAAGACGTCTTTTTATCTGGGTGATTTATATGATTATATTTGTTTTGTCAGGACATCATCATCTGTTATATATGCTTATACTCATTGAAGTTATAGCAACATATTTGAGCAGTTATAGGTTTGTTATGTGATTGAAATAATACATTCTATCAGTTATATTAAGCTAACAAAAGATAATATCCAAAAGAGTTGATGTGCCTCTGTCTCACCTGTCTTTATCCTTCTCCTCCTTCCCAATGGACGAGTCTCTTTTCTCTCGTTCCCTCTCCCGTTCTCTCTCTCTTTCCCGCTCTCTCTCCCTCTCTCTCTCATGGCTGTTGGCTGAGCTGCTTCTCTCGGCATCTGCGGTTTTGGGCCACTGCGGTGGGGTGGGGAAAGACGGTGGGGTGCGTCGAAGTCGGTTCCAGGTGTCGTGGTGGGGGCTGCCAAACGTGGGCAGTCCTCCTGGCCCCTCCTTGGTGCCAAACATATTGTTGGACCCTGGAGGGAAGAGGGAGACAGGCGTGGGAGCCACTGTAAGTTAATTGGGCACAAAACCTTCTCGAGGACACATAAGATGAGAAAGACTCAACAACAAAAGCTGCTTTTGTCTTTGTCTCTGGAGGTTCTCTTACTGAAGCTGCTTGAAAGAGTTAGAGGTTAATGGCTCCCCCCGCCAGAGAACAAAATCTACTCATTTACTTCAGACTAAAGGGCTTCTCCCCCTCCCTCTTTTTTGAATGAACTGGGGAGATTCACTTGCCCTCTGGAGTTGAGGGCTGTGAAAAGCCAAGGGAGACCTTAGCATTCCACAGCGTGTCTGCTCCAATCACATCCATTTTCACAACAGGGAGAGCGATTGGCACACAAAACAGGAGGGAAGAGCAAAAAGAGAGAGAGGCATAGAGAGAGGGACGCAGGGAGAAAGGAGAAAGCCCTCCATGGTGGTGCAGAAGGGGCTTGTCAAATAATTAATAGATGAACTGCTTCCAAGCAGTGGACCTGAGAGTGCCTGTTGGCAGCAGCGCAGCCAGCTTAGAGCCAGGCTGTTGGGGACATGCTTGGTGGATGAAGTGGAAGCAGGGAGGTGTGTTTGCTGCCTAGCAGGGCCTCCCTTGGCTACGGCTGTTTTGACACAGAAACTAGCTAAGTGTCGAGATTTTTTTCCTCCCCTCCTGGCTCTCCCTGTGGTCTAATGCTGCCCTGCTCTGTTCTGTTACCGGCCACAGGGGCCAGACTGACGGGGTGAGCAGTTGAGGAGGAGAGGGGGCCAGCGCTTACCAAGCGAGGGGTTGCCTAATCCTCCGAAGGCACTGCTTGAAAGGTTGCCGAGGCCGCCATAGGAACTGGAGCGACTGAAAGGATCTGCAAAATGCCAAACAGGGATTAGCAAAAAGGGGGGGTTGGCTAGCAGTGCTCACCCCAACACCAACCCGTTCCACTCGGCTTTTCTCTTACAAGCGAGCTGTGGTTTTCCTTTTCTTTTTTTTGCGCTGCCACCCTAGCTCGCTGCCTATTAATCCTGCAGTAGCCAGGTCTCCTGGATGCACTGCTACTAACTGGAGAGGAGTGTCTCTGACCATGCTGGGGCTACCGAGACTACACAGCTTGGTCAGGAAATTAGGTTTGAGTTGTTGGAGCTGAGCTGAAATAGACTGAGGCATGGTAGGGGAATTAAAATCTGTAAAAAATAAGGTGAGAAAGACCAGAATAATTTAACTTGAGAATCAGTGTCTGATGGGCTCCACTGACGCAGACAAGAGCCTCCAAATTAATATGAATAACACAAACATTTACTTGAGGAGTTAATGTATTATATTCACCCACTGATAATTAGCATTCCCATTTCAATTCAGCAAAAATCCATCAGGAAAAGCGGAACTTATCAACAGATTAGGGTTTAGAATTTTCCGCTTTGGGGCTTGTTAATATATCAGAAAAGGCGACAATTGAGAAATCTCCTCTTCCTCACACATGAATTCCTCAGACTGGAAAATTTGCTAGCTAAGTCTTCCTCCTCATTGCGCCGTTAATTCATAAGCACAAAATGAAGCTTCTCGAGGGCTTATTCCATGAAATCACCCTCCACTCAGAAACCAAGCAGTGTCTCAAATAGAATTAAGGAAATAAATCAATGCATAAAAATAATTAAATGTACTTATTCATAAAAAAACCATTAACTATCTATCAAATATAAAATAGCTCATAGGAAACAGTGCCATATATGCTGCTGCGCTGCATTTTGGTTGCCCAAGCATAGGAAGGAGACTGGATACCAGACTGGCTACGTATTTAATAACCCCAGACAGAGTTATTTAAGGCTGTGTTATGAATCATACAGTCTGATTACATGATGGCTAAACTCTCCATTACCATGAACTATGACGTCATAGTTACCTTCATATGAACCTGAGATCAAAACCTGAGAAAAATATATATCTAAGTTTCACTTTGAATCCAGCTTTTTCTGTATGTGTTTAACACATGTGCAGAAGAGAGAGGGAGAGTGGGTGGGGGAGAGAGAGAGAGCGAGAGAGAGAGAGTGAGAGAGAGACAAGAGGAAAGACAAGAGAAGTGTTTAGAAAAAAAAATTGAATATGGGATTACTTACACTTACCTGCCAAATGGCTAGGAGGCAGGAAGCCGCCGGGATGGGGTGCGGGGCCGTATGGAGAAGGAGCTGGATGGCTGGAGCCTATCAGAGCATACAGGATATAACAGCGTGATTATTATCTAGTCTGACTATTACATTTTCCTCACTAAACATGCAGAGACAGAACAAAACGATTCTGAAATATTCACAAATCTGGCCCCTGTGGTAAGAACTTAAAGTGTAAACATGGGTAAATATCAACAAATATTCCCGTGTGGACTCTAGGAGTAAACTTGCGTAGATACTGCTGAGTAATGCAAGAAATTCACTATTGATATTTTTGCTTTTATTTCAGCTGTAACATGTCTGAGTGTAAATCGTTGCATATTGAGGTCAGTCGCTGACAAAACACTGTAACCATCACCCATTATCCCTGAATTGTTAATGAAAGAAGCAATTACAGGAGTGGCTCTCATACAGCACTGCATAATTACCAGTCAAAGGCTGCTTGCCTCTCGGTTGCCCTCCAACGCAGGGCAAATCAGTCAATTACCTAACCGAGAGTCATCCATATTCATAGCAAAATTTGACTCCCTTTACTGGCTAAAAATCTGCTTCAAAAGCACTATAATTAAGTGAACATTACGCGAGAAGAGAGGGGGAAAAAAATGAAGCCTTCTCATTGCTGCGGTCGAGGAACAATTTTGACGTTCTCATTTGCATAACGACAAAACATTGGAATAATTTGAAATGGAATAATTTGAGTGTTTGGAATGATTTGTTTGGGAAGGTGCAGTTCCACACCCTGCATTTGGAGCTGACCACTGACCTGTGGAAGAGAAGAGGGGTCGTGCCAAGTCGTGAGGGTATGGGAACCCTGGGAAGACTCCAGGAGCTGGGGGTCGACTGAACAGGTCCAGCTTCCCATTCATGTCGAGTTTGTGCGGATCCAGCTGCATTTGCTGTAGCCGAGAGGGTAGAGAGAGAGACAGAATAAAGAAACTTAGGACCGTAGACAAGAGCGTCAAAGATTCCCAGCGGCAGAGTAACGGAGTTAATTCTCCACTGCACTGGGTGAGAGATCAGAGGTAGACAGATTAATCAACAATGGCTCGATGTCTCCTACTCTGGTTTACTGTGTCATAACAAACATATGTAAGCTGATTAGGTACACTAAATCCTTGGTAACGAGGGTTCAAGGCTCAAGAAGGACTGACACCAACGGGCCAGCGGCTTTAGCAGAGGATCTCCATGGCAAGGCCACAACATCCTCAGTGAGAGGGGTTTTTCCAAACAAGTGTTTTTTAAATTTGTCTTCATTATCTTTAATTCTGACAATAAGCGTTTGGTAGGAAATGGTCCACTGCCCCTCTCTGTTTGAAAGTAGTGAGCCGAATTTGCAGAGCTTTAACTTAACCTTACTGGATTTTTTATTCTCAGGAAACCCTAAACAAGTAGAGACATCATTATCCTTAGATATTCTGCAATTACAGACTTGTGTTTCTTAACGGGAATCTGATTTTCCCACCCACATGCTCGTTCTGAATTGATCTGCTTTAGACTTTAGATTATGAAAAAAATAAAGTGGAACTGACAAAGATGCCCCGTGGATCTATGTATTCGGGGGGTATGTTTTGTGCTGTTCTGTTATTTTTCAAATATAATGTATCTGGTTTTACATGAAAGCAAGACTCCTGCAAGACATCATTATCCGTCTCACGCACCTTCATTTTCTGCTGGTGGTGGTAGATCTGCCATGCGATCTGGACATGCACTGCGCACCACTTGCCAGGTTTCTAAAAATTTAGAGAGAAACTGAGGTTAGCCTGCTGGCTTCGATAAAGGGAGCTAAAAATGGATGCTGGCATTGAGATTTTCTGGCCAAACTACAAAGTGGGAACTCGTCAGAATTTTTCAACCAGGCAACGGATTAAGAAAATCGAACCCTGACTTTTGCCCAAAAGAGACCTCAAATAAAATAACATTAGATGCAGCCAAAAGCCTGCATATGTTTGATCAGAAATTGTTGAAGAATTTGCAGTTTTAGACTTTGTGGCCTGGCCAGAGAGATAAAACATTTAAGATGGACTAGGAAACCACTCACCCTAACAGATGTCCTGAATGGATCTGTTATCTGTACGGACAAACAGACAACCATTAACATCAACAACAAAGACAAGGACCAAAACTGTGCAGTTCTGTCGATCTCAAAAGATGCCAGTGTTCAATTCACTCTAACACTAAATTTGTCCATAGGAGGAGAAATGTATGGTATGACTTTCATCCCAAGACCCAAAGCAGACTGATTATAAAGCTTTTTGCCCGACACTTACCCGTGGATCCTTCTGTAGGAGTGTGTGAGGCACTGCTCCAGGACGAGCCGCTACATCGATGGGATTAGATGACTGAAATAAAAAGAGAGAGAGAGAGAAAAAAGGGAAAAAGGATACCTTGTAATTAAAGTGTTACACAGTCGTTCAAACACTCATAGGTCATAGGAAAGAAAGAGAGAAACAGAATGTGATACATAACATAGACATTACTGAATGTTGCACAGAGAATCCATGAGAATTTATCTTGGGATCAAAGTTTAGCCTCCCACTTTCTCAGTGTCCTAACATATACAGTATGGCAGATATGCACGAGTGTAATTCAGAGTAGATGTCTGAGGCATGGAAGACTTTTTGTTTAAAAACACAAGAAGACCCTCCAGCTAATGATGCCAGCGTCACTTTAACCTTATGTCCTCCTGACGTCATTGGATAAAACTGCATTGATGCTGCAGGTGCTGAGAAACACAAGAGTTAACGTAACACATTCCTGATCTCTGTGATCCCCTCTCTAAGCCCTCGAAGCGCGAGTGCCTAGATCAGCCTCATTACTCCATCCCTGTATCATGGATAGGAAGATCCCGCAGGGTGACCTGGGTCACCAGCCCCCACAAACAAACACATATCCCCCCCCCCCCCGAAGCTCCTCTCCAAGAATACTTAGCAGGGGCTTTGGACGCAAAAGACTGTTCCCTGAACCATCTGGAGGGGCCTTTCGACAAAAGGGCCCCTCCATGACAGAGCCCCCTGGGGATAGGGCCAGCGGATTTAGGCCAGCTTTGATTGGTGGCTTACACCGGGTCACAGCCGCTGGGCATCTGCCAGACAGACTAACCCCCCCTCATCACATCCCTCACATCCCCACTGTTGCTGCATCTCCTCTGCTCTCCTCTCATATGCAGACAAACATGGCATTCTTATCTTTGGCATGGCTTGGCTGGCCCTGGTTCTGATCCAGTAAAGTCAGCCAGAGTATTAAAGATGGATTTATGAATTTTAATGGGATGGAGTTTTGAAGAATCCTATTTCACATCTTTATTGTACAGAGCTCTGCTACATGTAACACCAAAGACAGAGAGGAGAATGAGTATTGTGTGTAAGCCCTGTTTTCTAATGTACCGCCGTCTGGTCATTTTAGAGTCTAAACTTTCCCGCCATGGATACATCCTCCAAGGACATCTCTGTTATGACATGCATGAAGTGATTACTTGAATAAGCTGTTTCATTAAAAGCAAAAACTACAAATCCATGTCTCTGCTTAACAGGTGTGCTAACCACCTTTATTTATGCTTCAGTGTTTAGTGAGGAAACCAAGAGAAACTTTGCTCATTGAAGCACAGAGCTTGGAGTTAAAGGTAAACAATAATCAATAGATCTTATTGTATTACTTCCACGACGAGTTTAACATCTGACTGTGTGGCCATTTTGGCTCAATGAAGAGTCTCCTTATGTACAGTAGACTAGTTCAAATGTAAAAAAAAAGACATATTTAATAATGTTTTGAGTACTGTAAGTGTGGGTTGTTTCATGTGTACAGGCCTAAGTGATCTTTTATTCATGAACATTTCTTGAAGCTGTCAGTCTGTCTGCTGAGGTGGTTGGAGGGAAAGGGATGTGGGGCTGACCTTGGGCTGGAAGGCTCCTTGCAGCGAGCTGAAGGGTCCTGAGTGTGGGAGCAGCGGGGGCATGCCTGGCATGGTGGGGGGATAGGAGGGGAAGAACTGGGGAGAAAAGAGGAGGATGGGAGACACAAAAAGACACAAAACAAAATCAAACAGAGAAACGTACAGGACTCAAGCATAAGCACACACGAAAAAAACCACACAGCCACAATAAACGCTCTCACGGCAACATTCAAATATGTCAAATATTTGATTTGCCAAATGCAAATAGCACATTTAAATCCAAATGAAAAAAACAGAGAGACTCACGTTTGAATGTCTGATGAATGGATTGTCCAGTTTGGGGGTGTATTTGTCGAACTGGAAGAGATTAGAGAGAAAATAATTAGGGGAAAAAATAGCCCAGAAAATGATCTTATTTAACATAATCCTTCATGCAAAAACCTCCTTTAAAAATAATCTCTCATTATTTCTACATCACAGAAACAAAACACATGATCAGCATCTGTAACTGGTAATAAGCAGGGCTTTGATCCAGGATAATAAGCCCCAGAGTAAAGCAGCTGGCTCGCACTGGTCATGGGTTGACTTAAAACTGCATGGTCAGATAGGCAGTTAAATTACTAACAATACGAATGCTTTCGCCGACTGCCAAGATGAAGACAGCCTGCATGATTTTTCAATTGAGCATACAGACACTGGGCGTGGAGGCCCTGCTAGTGATTCAGAGCGTTTTAAAACCAGACCAGTTGTTTCTATTCACTGGAAAATTTGTCAAAAATTGAATGTAATTGCTTTTGACTGTAAAGGCCTTTTTCTTTTATCTTCGTTTGCAGGGGAGTCCTTGAAGATGTTTAGCATGTTTTGGGTGTAAGAAAAAAAATATACTTCAAAAACGCTCCAGCCAATAAAAGTGCATCAAATCATGGGAAGTCTAAAAGCAGCCTCTTATGAGTCTTTTTCATTATAGAAACCAAATCAACTAGATGACATTTGCAATGGTTAGGAGGAGCTATTTCAGGACACCTCATGAAACACATAGTCTTGATGCGCTGAATTGATGTGAGGAATTCTCTTCTGTGGTAGAACTCATGCTTGCTAAAAATAATCCCTTATAAAAAAAAAAGGATGCAGTTGTATAAAAGAACACTTCTAATCATGTCCTGAACACATGGGAATCTAGTCAGTAAGCTGAGAAAGAGCAGAGGGAGGGAGAGGATGGAGAACGTTGCTCCAAGTATGAATGGGGACTTTGTACGTCTGTTCACAAGCCAATACTGGCTCTCTATTTTAAAACAGGCTAATTACAAGCGACAGTAACTTATTCCTTTCCACAAATACACAAACCATTTGCAGGTACTTTTTGCGAGTGTTTTCCCAAAGCTCTCTTGGCAGGCGCAGACATTTTTGGTTTACATAAAACAGGGAAATGAGTGGCTATGAATCAATGTTTCTGTGTGTGCGTGTGCAGCGACACGGGTGGTTGAGGGGGGAGCAGACGTAGGCTTGGCTGAGCTTGCCGGTGGAGATGCAGGGTTTGAATCAGAGGCCTTCTAGTGAAACAGGACCATTCACATCTGCAGACAAAATGGCCGCAAAGGCAGCGATGGTGTTGGCGGCCTTGTTTTGTGGGTGATAATGGGCCAAAATCAAAGACAGACGGCCTACTGAGAGGAAACGCCGAGCCAGCTTCCGAGCTCATTAAACAGTTCCTCTGCGTTTCTGAAGGCGCGGCTTGTTTAATGTTTGACACCGGGAGGGAATTTGGACGCTTTATGGCCTTGTGAAAAACAAAACAAAAAAACGGAAAAAGAAAAAACAAAAGCTCTTGCCCTTGTAATTTATAGTGCCTGTCACAGTTTTATAGTTAACAGCTTAAGCTAATGAAAGCTTAATATTTCATCTTATAACAATTAAGGATATTTTCTTGTCGAAAGACATGATGGGGCAAGGGGCGGGGCAGGAAAGACACTCAACACTGCCATTTGGCAAGCCAGCTGCTTGAGGGCGTCGAACAATAAACAAAAATAGAGGCTTCATAATTTCATTAATTACAGCCATTAGCCAACGACTGTTACATAGTTGAAATGACATGTGGCGTTCAGAGAGCAGAGCAAATAAAAAAAGAGAGGGAAAGGCAGCAAGAAAGGGAGAGAGAGAGCGAGAGAGATAGAGAGGGAGGGCTTTACAGGGTTTGCCCTTTTATGCAAACAACAAAAAAACAACCACAACATCATAATTTGTCCTGCTTATTTAAGCAAGAACCAAAGGAAAGAAAAAAAAAAACTTTGTTACTGAGGGGAGGAGGAAGGGGAAAAGGAACAAGTTAGGTTACAACACAGTTTCAATAATAACAACAGCAGAAGACATTCATGTTTCCCACTGTAGATGGGGTATGTTCATCATGGGCTACATAATGCATGTATTAGTGAGATGAGGCAAATCGCCTCTTTCATCTTCAAAGAGAGGGCTGTGTACTGTATGTAATTCCTACCATGTCAGGAATGAACAGCAGAGCAGATATCAGCATGTGTGTGTTGGCTACAGACCAGTGTAAACGGTCTGTTTTCTTATCTCAGTGGACGCTGTAAATACCAGAGCTTTGACTTCTAATGTACAGGATGAGGATAATCTGCAGTAAGGCCTTAATGGGACCAAAGGCTTTTAATCAGAGGTCATGAAGTGATGGATTACATCTATTAGACTAATGCCAAAAAGCTACAAATGCCTGAATGGACTGTCAGATTGCTGAATGTTTAAAATCATGGATAATTAGTCATAACCGTTTGTCTTCCTTTGTGCTTTAGTCTTGAGGGCAGTCAAAGCAAGGAAGCAATTACAACTATTATCAAAACAAATTGGCCATGATGTCATCCCCCGCCTTTTCATCTGCAATGAAGTCATTTTACCGACAGCAAGGTTTTGATTTGAAGTTGGAAAATACAATAAGTGCACACACACAAACACACACAAGGAAAAGAACTTGCATGAAAATATTTGAGTCTACACTGTCTGACGGTGCCTTTGTTGCTCTTTGACTACGGGAAAATGAAAACTTTCAAAAACATTTAGATCACATCCATATGCAAACAACTGTAAAGTCTGCTTTCCAGCATGTGGCCTTTTTGATCCCTGGCAAACACTGAACTATAAAATCAATGTCGAAGTTCAGACAAAGGTGAAATTTTTAGGCTAATTTGTTGAAGTTGGGGTATTTAGCAGAAATGTGAGTCAGATAATGGCCTCGATGATAAGTGATGCAAAATGTGGATTTACTGTTTAATAAAACGTTCCACTATGGATAGAGACGTTTAAAGCTGGGTTGATCAGTAACTAGCACATATATGGACACACTTCTTGATGTGTGTTGGGGCATAGATGGCCTAGTGGTCAGTTTGCTTGTCCCATGTACAGAGGCTATAGTTCTCAAAGTGGGGCTGCCCGGGCTCTAGTCCAACCTGTGTCCACTCTTTCTCTCCCTGATTTCCCACTCTATCCACTGTCCTTTCGAATAAAGGCATAAAAGTCCCCCAAAAAAGCTTTTTGATGTGTTTATGTGTGTGTGTATAAGGGGTGGACAACCAGTGGGACATATCAGACCAGTGTTTGTCCGTATTATAAAAGAACAGATGTGATAATTCCAGGTTTTCATCAAGCTTTGGCAGCAGGACAGAAAATAAAGAGCAAAAATTCAAACCGAATCAGAGTCATCATTTTCATAAAGGAGGGGTTCCTACATCTACTGGACATTTTTCGACAAATTTTGGGTTGAAGAAAAAAGGGAGGGAATCACTTGAAGAGTAGATTTGGAGGGGTGATAGGTGGTGGGGTTTGGGAGCTCTTCTGTTTTACTTATCCTCACATTTCTGGCTTGTGTACGCACCATGGGGGGTGCGGTGGGCGGGGTGAGGATGGCGGCCGGGGGCAGACTGGCGGGGAAGGGCGTGAAGGTGTGCTGGTGGGTGTGTTGGTGCTGGTGCATGTGCTGATGTTGGTGAAACTCGGCCCTCAGGAGCGACACGGGGGCCAGCGGGGAGGCGGATGGCCCCCGGCCCCGCTCTGAACTCTGAACCAGGAAGCGGTTGTTCAGCTCTTGCCTCAGGAGGTCATGCTCTGTAAGAAAGGAGAGCGAGGAAAAAAAAAAAAAAAAAAAAAAGAAAAGAATAAAGGGGGTGGGGAGAGGGAAGGGGGGGGACACAAGAAAAAAAAAAAGGCACGGGCGCCCAGTCAGTCTTCACAAGGGTAGAAGAAGAAAGAAAATAGTCACCTGGCATTCTCTGTTTCTCCAGCTCATGCTGTGAGGGTTTTCTACGTGGGGACTCATTGGTGGTGGTAAGAGAGTTGCCTGTGACAAAGTGCCAATCAGAATCCCCGAATGAGGCTGGCAATACATGATTGGTTGGTTGAATGATATCAACAGGCTGGTATCTAAAGACAAGAGAGAACCAAGAGTCATCCCAGCAGAAAACACACACACTCTTGCCCTCCATTAGGAAATCAATGCACAGCTAGCATATTTATCACATTTTCTGGAGACACCCATCGTCGCTGGAGACATTTATTTCCTTCTAGTGCAGCACACAGTTGCCTTTTTTTAATAAAACAGTGGACCATATCATCAATTTGTTACCTATGACATATTGTTGCCAGGAGAAACCATCATTCTGGTTGTTAGGGTTGTGTCAGATTGATGACTGAGTGCACCATTTTACAACATGTGACTGTTAAAGTGCTGCTCAAGCCTGTACGCTCAAGTTGTCTCCAGCTGTGATGACTGTCCTGTTGTTAGCTGACATTTTACAATGCTGCCTCTGAGCCCTCGAACAGTGACTAATCAACCTTTTGAAATGTCTAAGTTTCTATAAATACATCTTAGAAACTGATGAATGCTGTTCTCCAATACAGAAACAAATGTCTAACATAGATTTGAAGTTATTTAAGGTTTCTGTACTACCTCGACGGCATTCCTCAGACACAAAGGTGAAGGTATACACAGGATTTGTAAGCACATAACTCATTACTTACTGTTATGTCACTAGCTTCAGTACCTAATGCACTATTTAAAGTGCATTTGAGATTTATGCCAGAGTATCATTAACTAGTCACTACGCAGAGTGGTAAAACAGATCTTAAGAAACTGGGAAAAACAAAGAATATAGAAAGTAATTGTTTCATAAAAACAAAGCCCTGTTCAAGCGAAAGACTTTCTCTTCACTAAAAAAAGTCCATCAAATACAGAAGTTCCAAAATAAAATTCAGCAAAGAAGGAAAGAAATATTTAGAGATCATACAAAAAATATACTGCAGAGGTTTAAAAATGTAATAAATGAGCACTTACCAAATCAGCAACACACACAAACACATGAACAGTTGACTAAGCTCAATAACATATAAAACATCATGTACAGTATTAACATTTAAGTACTACTGATGAGTACATGTTTAGGAACCATGTTACAGTTCTACTTGTACTCTAACGTTTTGTAAATAATTATTTCCTGTGTTCAGAGTATCACACGTCTATACTCAGAGAGGATGCTAATATATGTGTGTAATCTTCAAAAGTCTAAAAAAAGGAAACCTCTAATAAAACATGTTGGAACGCCTCAACAGTTTGAAACACTTTGTTCCTCTGTTAAAAATGTGTAATATTATTAAGTATTAAGAAAGAAAAGAACACTGAAAGCCAGAATTCTAAAGGTAACATGTGTCCTAGGAGATTGTTCTGCAATGAAGACACCATCTAGCATGTGAGGTGTGCGGCTGTACCTGGGTAGGGGGTGCCAGCGGGGTGCCCAGGCACCACTAAACTGTTGGTCGGTAAGGTTGGTGGTGGCGGCAGTGTGGCTGGGGTTGCAAACATGGCCGAATGGCGATGGGCCGGGCTCCTCAGGGAGGAATAGTGCGAGGTAGAGAGGTTAGCTATGGACAGAGGCAAGGCGGGGGCCGATGAGGGGAGCCCACTGAGGTGATGGTGAGGGGAGGGGGGCAAGTGCTGTTTGGGAAGACCCACTGGACTGCTCCTGTGGCTGAAGATATAGAAACAAAGGGTTAAATATCTCTGTTAAAAAATACACAATTTATTGATTCAAATGTAGGCTGTATTAAAATCATCAAACAGTTTTCAGTCACAATGAAGAAGTGTGAAAGATCTACAGAAAGTATGACTCCTCTGTGTTGCATGTTTACATGATATACCTTTACACACATTTGTTGTTTAATTTAAATTTAAATGACTGTATTTTAGAGCCTCATCTGATCTTGCAAAGTAAACCTAATGGTACATGTTTTGTGTCTTTGCAGCTATACAATATTGCCTCACAAATATCACAATACATTCAACACAATGCAGTACCTTTTCTGACCTGTCACTAACGACTCATAACTGTGATGAGGTAAACAGTAGTGGTTCTTATCTTCTTGTTTTCTTTACACTGTTTATTCTTAGCAGCAAAGATGCTCTCATCTTGTAAGACCCTGCACCTGTAAGCAAACATGCCCATGAAAAAACCCACCTGATGTCGTGGAGGCTGCTGTACAGCGGGTGATGCACCTGGTGGCTGATTACTGGCCGTGCGTGGTGCTGCGGGGGCGGTAGAACACGAGACTCCAGATGTGCGTGTGGGTGAGGGTGTGGGTGAGGGTGAGGGTGAGGGTGAGGGTGAGGGTGAGGGTGAGGGTGAGGGTGTGGGTGAGGAGGGTGGAGCTGGGGGTGGGGTTGTGCCCTCAACAGGGGAGGGGTAGGGATAGGGGGCGGAGGTGGCTGTTCCTTCTTGACACTGAGAGGAGGCGGGCTGGGGAGGCGCGACCTAGGGGGCTCGAGGGGGGCCGCCGCTGCAGCCGGTGCAGGGGAGCCCGTAGGCGCCGAAGCCGGGGTGGGGCTGGGCACGGGAGGCGTGAAGAGCACCTCACTGTGGCTTTGCTCCTGGCTACGCTGAAGACCTGAAACTTTGGCTGAGCTACAAGTCTTGGACTCGGGACTCTCATTCGTTGGCACACCTGAGGAGACAGAGACAGAAACACGTTAGAAAAGAATCTTCAAAACAACACCTGGAAAAGTTCCTTGGATAGAGTTCAATTTGTTTTTGTTAATGGTGAATGATAAATGGACTGTTTTTTATTATGCCCTCCAATCTTTGTCCACTCAAAGATTGGAGGCCCCCCCCCCCCCCCCCCCACACACACAAACACACACACACACACACGCACACACTGAAGGGGCGAGGACTTGAACTACAGATTTTCTGATTATTGAAAAAAATTTAAAACGTTCTTCCTAGTTAAAGATGACAAGCTCTTTTCTTGTTTGATTCCAAAATAACATTTCAGCCTTAAAAGCAGTGATGCCTACCACTGTTTATTTCTGAGGAGACTTGATGATCAATGACAAAACACAGCTCCCTTTCCTACTTTATGATGTCGTCCAAATGTCTTTTGCCCAAGGTTCCTCCTGCTTCCCTCTCCCTAGGTTCCATTAAGTGTTTAATCAGGTCATTTTCATGCTTGACTATAATCAGATGATCCAATTTCTTCCCGCAATCCAGTCAGTATGAATAAATCACAGCTAATTAAAGTTAAATGTCGGCCCCTATTCAGGGCTTTGCTGAGCACACAATCTGGCATGAAATAATTATGTTTCAATTGTGCTGTGAAGGGAGATCGTGGCCCCTTATCTTGGCCTCTCTGCCACCACGCCTTCCTATCCCCCCTGTCCTGATCTTTCAGGGGATTTGGTAAAACCACAGTGAAGTCCTCGGAACTGGACCACTTTGTCTTTTCCATTCATCAGGGGTCTATTCAACCGACAAGGAGCTTTTCTAATCAGCATTCCACTGAACAACGACTTTTCATACTTAGTCTGTTGCAATTTAATGTCTGTAATTATATGCTGTTGTAGCAGGGAAATGAAAGTGGCAATAAATGCATCATCTTGACACCTTTCACATATAAAGAATCTACTTAATGAATAAGAAAAGATGTCTCAGGCTTAAAAGAAATGTGCTAAATGGGCCACAGAAAAATGGATATTGAGGAGATGGTAGAGCTTCAAAGACAACAGCTACTGAACTCTATAAAGCTGCCAGTGGAGGAATTTCGCTTCAAGTACAGAAACATCACATGCATAGAAAAAGAGAGGAAGAAAGTGTTCACACAGGGACAGAGGGAGATAGAAAGAGGGGAAGAGAAAGGGCTGCCTGGTGGAGATGAAGCTCTCTAAGCAGCTCTAATCTACAGCTCTGATGCAGCAGTACTTCAGTCACAAGGATTACTAGCACCTCAATTAAAAAAAGCTCTACAGGCACTCTCGGCGGTGACAAAAAAGCAAGAAGAGCCGGGAGCCGTCGTCAAGCCAGTGAGAACTCGACATGCAGCCCACTAATGGAATATCCAGTCCCTATTAACAGCATGCTTAATCTTTCAAGGATCCTAACACCCGTAAAAAGACCAATAAAAAGGCAGTGCAGAGCTTTTATTTTTTTATTTGGTGAGCTCCCCTCCCTGGCTCTTTGCATTTTATAAGAGAACTGGGGCTGGCTAAGGTGTCACGAGTTTCTAATGAATTCCGGGGTCCAGGGGTATATAGTCGTGCAGATTTAAAGGGGTCTGGGATTTGGATCAAACTGTCAGCATCTCGCTCCTACAAACGAAAGAAAAAGAGGAAGACTGAAGGCAGAAACAGAGAGAAGGGCAGATACAGACAAACAGGCGAAGAAGCAAATATCCACAGTAGAAATGTCGCCGGTGGGTGATGTTGCCGTGGCAACCTGTTCTCCCAGACACAATGCCAGGCGAGTGATGCTGAAGGAAGTCTCATACGACCACTATGAGATACAGAGGGGTTTCAGATACTAATGCAGGCAAACCGGGGCCACAGTGAGTGCCGGGTTATCTTAATGATGATTCTAATGGTCTCTAATGGAGGCAGGGTGGTTTCAGCTCAGAAAGACCGATTCCTCATTAAAATCTCTCTGCCAGCATAGACGCATAGACACAGACACAGACACATGCGCACACACACACACACACAAAAAAAGATCGCAACAGGAAATTTGGGCAAATTTACCACCCATAGACAATGTAGTCACAGCATCTTCATTAAATTGTAAAAGAAGAACAAAGAGGAGGAAAAAAGAGACTTTATGGAAATCTCAATTTGAAAAATGTTCTTTGTTAGGGTGCTGGTTTAGCTTAGCAGTTAGAGTGTGTGCCCTATGTGCAGACACTACAGTCCATCCTAGTTTTGAGTCTGACCCTCATCATTTGCTGCTTGTCATCCCCCACTCTCTCCGACCAACAATTCTGGCCCCTCTCCACTATCGTATCCCAAAAAAGGCAAAACTGGCTCATAGAAAATCTAAAATAAATAAAAGTGTATGTTGATGGAAAAAAAACAAAGGGTTTATTTATCAATTACCTCTTACACTACAGAACCAATGACAATATGACAATATACCTTAGGGTGCGTTCACACCATTTGGTCCGCTTGAAATTAACTCTGGTGCGATTTGTTGATAGTTCGTTTGGTTCGGGGTGGTATGAACTCTGGTCCGCTTAAAAACAGGGGTCTCGGTTCACTTCCAAGTGCACCAGAGTTCAGGCAGTCAACTATATAGGCAGTTAATTATAAAGTACAAAATTTACATCACAACAGTTAACATATGCAGCTGGTGTGACTGTACTCGTGTAATTCTATAAAAAACAATAGTTCTATGTGATTATGTGATTTAAGCAGGAGATGCTCCAACTTCTTCAGCAGCACACTGGCTGTCAAAAATATGGAAAAACTGTTACTATGAATACTCTTACCAATACCAGCTAGACTATTATGTCACATTGTTTGTGTGTCAGAAGCAGCCATTTTGGAAGTAAACTTACTCTCAGTGATAGGGTGACAGGGATGCCTCTCTGACACATGTAACCTCAGGGATCTACGCAGCGAAATCACTATTCCAAACCCTGTCCCCTCACCACAAAACCACATATATGCAAGCTGGAGTTTCAAACATTTCAACAAACTGCCTTATTCAGCATTGTTTTGTTCTCTTTTTCCTCAGGACATGGAACTCTCTTCCCCTACAATCACACAGTGAGGAAACAGTAGGCAAGCCACAGGCAGTCATGTGAAACAAATTCAAAACGAATGTCTGTACAAAAAATGTGCTGTCGTGAATCCCTGTCCCGCAAACCTGAGCAGATGGTACGAGTGAGTCAGGCAGGTTGGGGCGGGGGGGCAGCCTGCTGGTGGGGGGTCCCTCCCCCAGAAACACACACACACCCCTCCCGATATCTGGGTTAGTGCACCAGGGGGACAGGGACATTCCCTGGGGGTGTTGGCAGGTCTGCTCACCAGATGACATCTTATCCCAGTATTGATCTTTTTATAGTTGTTCCTGCGGCCCTGCTTACTCAGGGGAATTGAGCCCTGCCCTGTGTGCACGTGCCAGCATGGGGGTGGGTGGACGGAGGGCCGGGGAGAGGAGGGACTGAGGTAGCAGACGGACGACAGGCAGCTGGGATTAGCTGGTCATGACTGATGTGTCCAGTGGGGAGTCTGGGGTGTGCACAGTGTCGCTACACAGCTGTTCCTGCCTGCAATATCCTTCACTTGTGACCCTGTTTGTCCCAGTGGAACATCTGGAGAGCTGGCACCGAGCTGCTCCTATGTGGTCTTTACGCAGCCAGATGGCCCAGCTTGAAATGGCTTGGACCAGTCTGGAATGGCTTGGCCCTGAGGTGGACTAGGATGTGCTGTTGTCATCATCCAAAAGGCATTAACAGAATAACGTGGCTCTTCGCTGACAAGGATATCTCTCATATGCTTGATCTTTTGGTACATTACGTGTCAAGAACACAACACAGAACCCCTGAAGGAGAGCACAGTACATTTTTCCTCTCAAATGTTTTCAGTTTGAAAACTCTTGCCTTTAAAGCATTCTCTTTAAAGCTTTTTTCAACCACTTCACTTTAAACACACCTGGCTACCTGCTAATGGACCCACCGACCTCATGAATGAGACGAGAGCCCTAGAGAATACAAGTAGAGAATATAAGTATTCGGCCTCCAACTAAAACCCTCAGCAACTATGCTGTGAATGCAAATAAGTGTGTTACATAAATTACCTGCTCACTGTCGCCATGAAGCCACAGCCAGGGAAATAGAACCTGTATGCAAAAAGCCTTTTTCAGATTAGATACGAGGGTATGCAAATTCTCCCTGTGACAAGGGGGGTCTGGGGCTAAGAGAAGCTTAAGGCCACTGGGTGTTCTCATTTACTAGGCAAACACTGCGGTTCACTCCCTTCATGGCTTTGCCAAAGCAAAAAACAGTCAGGGAAGAGATAAAATAGGGACATGAAAAGACAGATATTTAAATAAAGCGGCGTATCTGTTGAAAGACGTTGGAGGATGCAGAAGGTATGCGAGGACGCACGCTGCCTTGATCCGTCTCCCGCAGGCTCTGGTTGACAGAATATTCTGCTGCTCTTGATGGTTGAGCTCACAATGATTTGGTTTCTGTACCTCTGTAGACAAGCAATCTGCACAGAGCCAAGGCTTAGCTCACGAATGAGTGACTGTGGAAGATGGCTATAACAGATACTGGCAGAAGGCAGGAAACCGTAGTCTTGCCAATCAACACTTCATTGCTGCAGGGTATTCAGTCATCAAAAAAGGTGGGGAGGAATTCAAACCAAATTATTTGTACAAGAGGAACAGAAGTGCTTAGCAGTGTTGAATCATCGTGCTAATAATAAAATCATAGGAGAAATTTGTAATGACTTGCTTTTCCTCACACTGTTCAATCTGCCTCAAGCATCTCCAAGCTGGTAACGAGGGGAGCCAAGGCGACGTTTTTGCAAATCACTCAAGAGATGTTAATGAGGGAGTGGACAAGGATGAGCCAAGCCAAGATAGCATAAGAGTGGGGACAGCTGGCACGTTTCAATTATTTGTCTCTGTCTCTTCGCTGCAGCTGACAAAAGGGGCGGATGGCAGCAGAAC